AAGGGTTCTGGAAAGAGTCCAAAGCAAAGGAGGGCTTGGTTCAGCTGGTCACTCTTGTTCATTATCCTTCATTACTGAACTGGATCTCATATACAACTTTTCCAAAAGTGCATCACCTTCCATGTCCTTTCTGTACTGGAGCAGTCATCCACAACAGGACATAAAGGGTGGTCCAAACAGGCTTCTAAGGCAGCTGAATCAGGACTGGACAAGAATAACGAGAAGCGGTGATGATACAACATCAAGCACAAAATTTAAAAAGGATATCAGTGTAGCCTGACCTGAACGTGAAAAAGAAAAGCTTAAATTAAACATGTCATATGAGAGAGAAGCCACTGACCCTCACCCCCAGTTCTGCTCTGTTTTCACCCCACCTTGCTTCCTCGTCTGTGCTCAACAAATGGCGAGGCTGAAGCTGGCTGATAGTGTATGGAGAGCACAACGACACAACCTGAAGAAAAATGTTAATTGCAGAAGATGGAAAGAGGAAGACCCCAGAGGGCAGCTGCCTCCAAAGTGGACTCAATACGTGCAGCACATGTGGCACTGGATTATAATTTGGTGTGACTGGTAGGAGGTGTGTTTCTTCTGAGTTAGTGGCAGTTGTAGGCATGGGAACACCTGCCTGGTCAGCGAGAAGGATAAGAATGGAGCATCTGTCTTGTGGGGGCAGTCTAGGCTGGGAAGTGGAATTGTCTTGTTTTTATGCAAGGAAGGTTTCTTTTGTTTGGTTGGTTTTTGCTTTTTGTTTCTACCACAACAAGGTAAATACCCTATCAAATAAGGATAAGCCAATGTTTCTGCCACAAACTCATGAACAAGCCCACTAAATAATTTGCAAGATTTTTAAAACGGGCAGTCTCTTGAGAAGAAAGGTCTAGGACTAAATTAGCAAGAATGCTGTGGTGTGCTGGTTTTGGCTGGGGTAGAGTTAATTTTCTGCACAGTAGCTAGTATGGGGCTGTGTTTTGGATTAGTGTTGGAACCAGTGTTGATAACACAGGGATGTTTTAGTTGCTGCTGAGCAGTGCTGACACAGAGTCAAGGCCTTTGCTGCCCCTCACAGCACCCCAGCAGTGAGCAGGCTGGGCTTATACAAGGAGCTGGGAGGGGACACAGCCGGGACAGCTGACCCCAATGGACCACAGGAGTATTCCATACCATAGGGTGTCATGCTCAGCATATAAAGCTGAGGGAAGAAGGTGCCGGGGGGGGCGACTTTCAGAGTGATGGCATTTGTCTTCCCCAGTAACCATTACATGTGTTGGAGCCCAGCTTTCCAGGAGATGGCTGAGCACCTGCCTGCCCATGGGAAGGAGTGAATGAATTCCTTGGTTTGCTTTGCTTGCCTGTGTGGCTTTTGCTTTACCTGTTCAACTGTCTTTATCTCAATCCACGAGTTTTCTCACCCTTCCGATTCTCTCCCCCATCCCACTGCGGGGGGAGTGAACGAGCGGCTGAGTGGGGCTCAGTTGCTGGCTGGGGTTAAACCACGACATGCAGACCAGGTGTGAAGTACTGCATGGAGGCAGAATTGTTTGGAAAGGTTTGCCTGGAATTCTCTTTCATTATGGAATTCTCTTTCATTACAGCCATATCTAGCAAGCACTGGCAGAAGGTGCAGTTCCTGCTAATCTGAGTTGTCCTTCTGAAATCACTCAGATTATTTAAGTGAAAAGTATCTTTCTGTAAGGAGGAATTTTCAGGGTCTTTTTTTTTAATAGTGAGTCTATTCAAGCAGGCCTGGCTTGTTAATAAACTTTCAGCTGAAATGCTGCTATCCAGCGTAGCACGTAACAATCACTTTACAATATCAAACTTATTTAAAAAAATGTTCTAAAATAAGCATAGACAATGAAAGACATGAAAATTCATGTTACCTTTTTCATTAAATAGTGCATTTTATCTTCCATAAGAGATTCCAAACAGATTGGTTTTTATAGCTATAAATCAGCAGTTTGTTACTATGTTTTTATAGCTATAAATCAGCAGTTTGATACGATGTTTTTAAGCAATCGTTCTTACAGTACTTTGCTGTGAAAAAAAGGTTAATTTTTAGGCATGGAGATTATTATGATAAGGAGCATGGCTAGATATAATCAGACACTTTAGCATAAAATGCTAGTTTTGGTGCAAAGCAGATCATCTAGGTGGTTTTTAATTTTTTTTTTTTTTTCATGACAGCAAATGGAGCACAGAACTTAGCTGATCCAACTAAAACCTGAGCAAAATCATATTTATTCATTCAGACCGAATGTTTGCATGTTTAAATGTGTAGGAAGGTGTGATTTAACATTTAACATTACATCAAGCTTTTTGTTTCCTCTGATCCTCAGTTCTCACTTCTTTGTCAAATTGGATGTGATGAACATATCCAAGTTCAGAGGAAGTCTGGAACCCAGATGATGTCTGAGAGGCCTGTAATTCAGTTTCTAATTATGTAAAAAAACAAAACAAAACAACAAAAAAGACCTCACACCCAAACCAAAACATATCCTTATATATACGCCAAGTGATTAAGAATCTACAAGATCTTGAAGACACTACATTCGAAGTAATATTTTAAAAAGCTGGCAAGACTATTGCCGTTTGAATGGCTGCCTTTTTCAGCAATTTATATTGCTGAAAATTTTTTCATTCCTGACTTAGAAACTGGTTATGCATCCACGGAGTATAAAACTTTAAAGTCATGAGAGAAGTCCAATCAGTGTTTTTGTAAAAATACACAAGAGCCCCTGCGAAAGTGTCATAATTTTGTGAAGCTGTGCAGAGGGTCCTGTCATGCGGACTGCTTGGTTAGATTCATTCCTCTGTGACCCAGGCAGATTTTAAAGTTTAAAAATCTTCACTTTTACTTGAAAAAGCTTGCTTGAATACACAGTAAGCAATGCTTTTAGCTCCTCAGCACGTAGCAAAAAATAAGTCCAAATACAGTTTGAGAAACTATGAACCTTTTAAAATTTCAGAAGGTCCTTACAAGAATTAAAACAAGGAGATCATGAGTGGTATGATGGAGTTTTCTGCTCCGCTTTCTGCAGGGAATCATGCAGAGAGCCCCGTGTCCCTTGGGAATGGAGTAGCTGTACTGCCTGACTTCAGGTACTCATGGGTGATCTGAATTTTCCCCTTCAAGACTTTATTTTTCCCTCCTGATTCCATGAGAAACTAAGGCTCCTTAATTTATGTGCTCTCACTTGCACCCTGCTAGCAGAACAAAAATCTCAATGATGATACCCTCTTCAGGTCCTCTCCAACCATCTTCTGTGCCCACATGGTTAAAATTGGAGGGGATGGGGATGAGATGCTGGAATTTATTGAAGGGTCAAACTGAGTCTTACCTGATCTTCCCAGTTAAGGTAACACATAGGAAACGGCCATATCCCGTATATGCTGCCCAACGCTCTCTACCTAGCATGTATTCAGAAAGGGGCATACGCAAGCAAGTGGTGGAATATGTGTAAAGAAAGAGTAGATTTGGTTTGGTCCTGCTCTCTTAAACTCTAAGCTGGCCAAGCAATGCTCAAAGTCCCATGATTTCCTAGTGTCAGAATTTAATTCTATTTCATTCTGTTTCCCAGCTCTTATGCCATTTGCATTCACCAGAAGCTCCACTTGCATACAGACAGCCCCATAGGCATGTTCACCATTTTCCCAAGCAGTGCACATACAAGTGGCATTTACAAAAAGCAGTGCATATACACATAAACCACTGCAAAAGTGGTATAATTGGCATATTCTCATCAGATTATTTTCAATAGGTAAAGGTTGCAGTTGTACATTTCTGAATAAAGTAAAATACTTCAGTATGTGAAGTTTCTGATTTTTCTGTTCTTTGAATTTCTGAAGAATCTGGTTTTATGCCAAGCCCATTTTTATGGCCATATGTTGATTTTCCTAAGCAGAGTTATATGAAGTGACTAGATTGTATGATCACCTTGTCTATCATGCCTGCAGGTAGCTTTGAAAGGAAGATAAGTGTCAAAAGTATAATGCAATGTGAGTGTAATTTATGAGAATGACGTATGTGAGAATGTTTTAGGAAACCAGCATCATTTAGATGGAGCTGAAAAGATTCTGAATTCTGTCATAATTTTGAGGATCTTTAAAGCGAAGTGCAAAAAATAGAATAATGTGGATCTGTGAAATCCTCAATGTTATGTCATTTGCCCTCATCATGAAGCAAACGGTTGCCTGTGGAAGCTCTGACAATGCTATTTTAGTCTTCTTACTATATATTTCTTAATACATATTTGATTTCTGTTAAAGATATGTTAAATTGCATGAAATGAAACTTTTCAATGGACTAGCATGAAACAAAACCAGAGTGTTAAAAATACTGCATATTTTCCTAAGCATTCTGAAATAGGTTGCAAAAATTGCACTGACTGTGTTTATTTACCTTTTCTACCAGCAACCTTTAAAAAAATACTTTTAGCATTTACAGTAGTAATTAAAGAGATCACCTATTTGAAGACTAAGCCTGTCACAGTTTAGCTGTCTTAATGAAAGAATAGTTACATACTTTCAGTAGATCTCTTTTTTTTATCATTGAAATAAAGCATGTGAATGTCTTCACTATCTTCTTATTTGTATTTATTTATTGAAATAACTACACCAATTTTTGTTGCTTGATATTTGTGTAAATGGGAAGGTTAGTTAAGCTGACTGTTTAGTTAGGAAGATTCACTCCCTGTCTTTTTAGACTATCATCCTACAAATGCTTATATAATTTACTTGGCATATATGTGTAGCAGGGTTTCAATTAAATGAATGTTGATAGAACTATTACCTTAGGTTATAAAATAATCAACCAGAGATTGTTTTAATTTTGTTATTGTGGAATACCAAATGCTTTATTGGGACTTAACAATTAAACATGTTCATGTACTTCCAAGTTTTTATGTGTAAAATAAATTGTATACTAATGTGTGATATCTGTGTGTGAAATTTGCAGATACTAAGAAAAAGTGCAATATTAATGGTGTATTTTTATTTTGTAGCTTGGATCATCCTCCTCTGTGCCTTTTACATCTATATTCTCACAGCTGTTTATGACTGTTGTAGTCCCCCTTATTATTGGACAGGTATGTCTTTTAAATATACATTCTTATTTAAAAAAAGAAGATAAAGAGAGCTATCTTAAAGACAGACTGGCAGCCTGATAAGCTGCCACATAGGAACAGCCTCAGGATAGTGAAGTCTAATATCAGAGAAAAGATGCTACAGTGCTCCCTGGAGCCACATTGATCTTTGTTGAGATTGAGCATCTGTCCCTCACTACCACAAACATACGCTACTGCATATCGAGAAGGGAGTTTGTGAACATAAAGTGGGAAAAATGGCAGCCCAGACTGTGAGAAATTCCAGCCCCATACAAATGAGCTTTGAGAATACTATATAGTCCTTTTGTCACATGCCCTTTGCCTGGATGATGAAGGAAGTTCTCCCTGTGTAGTATCTGCTACTAATTACAGGAATAAAAAATTCTCACATTAAAAAACATATAAGGGCTAGGCAGTCAGAAGTTAAGAAATTATAAAATTAAGGCTGCTTGAGCCATTTTGCATATGCTTTGCAATAAGAGTTTTAATTGTACAATTGCAAACTATTCTTTCTGTATGACTCCTCTATCATTTGTTACATGGATGGAGGATATTCATGGAATGAGCAGCTGTTCAATATTTCATTTTATACTCATTGTTCATATTGTAACACAAGGCCTTATTTTTCATGGCATATGATAGATATCTTTCACTGAATGTAAAGATACTAATTGCAATATAAGAGTTTTCTGTGAGGCTTGTATCTGTTTTTTCACAACTGTTAATTATTTTTTTTCTTCCACATCATGGTGGGAAATTGCTATATTAAGACCCAAAGTTGTCAGAAGTGTCCATTATTCTTGGACACCAAAATACCCAAAACCTAATTCTTACGTACTTGTAAGTATTCATTGTTCTCAGGCATTCAGAATGATTGAAGGGAATATCAGTGGGATTTGCAGTTCATTCCAGAGGGCTACTGTTGCTGATTCTAGCATCCAGTTTAAGTTGGGGTTCCTCTGGAACTTTACGAATTTTGTCAGCTAAAGCAGACTTTGAAATGGACAGTATAGGTAAAATGTGTTCAAGTGGACTCTATAAAGGAGCACGCTGGACAAGGTTAAGAGTATTTGTCATTGCCTGTGCTATGTAGAACAGTCCATCAGTCTTCTATCAAACTATAATTGCACGTTTCAAAATTGGCATGTACTGTAACTTCCTGAAGTCCTAGTGAAGTTTGTTTCTTATATGATCAAAAAATGCCATTAAAGTCTAATAAGAAGATGAGCATGATAAGCATGACAGTAGCCACCAGCATCAGTACCTGTGTAACCTGGCTATAACCGTACCATGTGGAAAATAGACATGTCCTGAAAACTAGTGAATTGCTCATGTGCTTTGAGTTAAATGACTAAGAATCTCCTTATTAATTAGGACCACAACGGGTTGCTGATGAACCTACCTGTGTATCTCATTCTCATCTTGTCAAAATTAACTTAAGTCTCCACCAAAAGTGGACAAGCAAAAGTATTTGAATCCTCTTGTCCTGAAAGGTCCAAAAACTGGAAGCTATTGGTTGGAAATCTGTAGGAAACAAATAGAATGGCAGCAGATCTAGCATTAAAGTAACTTACAGTGATGGAATATCAGCGGTCTGTACTGCGATGTAGTAAGTCTGAAGATGATGGTAGATTGCTAGACAAAGTGATTGCAAAATTTCAAGAGGACTTTCATCTATGTATATATAATGGCATGTTACATTGGAAAGATGTTACAAGAAATTGGTGGAGTTGGGGTTTTTTTTGGCTGCACCAAACAATAAGAATTGAGCAGTAAGCATATAAGTGCTCTGAATGACTGTAAATTCAGAATCAGAATTGTAATGAGACTTAACTGAGAACAGATGTGATCTAGGAGTTCTGATAAAGACTGAAAGAAGAAAATAGAGAATCTTAAACCTTGTGTAACTCAATCACAAGTTTATTTAAAAGCTTGTTTTTTATAAATACACTTCAACAAGAAATAGGATGATTCACTTTTAAAAGTGTTCGAAGCACTTGCTGGAAATGAATGGTCAACAGAAATAGCTCACATTCCTCTAAGCATAAAGACTCTGTTTCTAAAGTTATTGCACTTGATTATATCTGTTCAGAGGATATGGAAGAGAGCAGATACTAAGGATCGCTACAGATCAAAAATGTCAAGGGTAGTTTACACTGATTGTATTGATTAGGTAGAACTGTACAAAGGTACATCAACCTGCCCAGATAAGGAATAGAAGCCATTTTTGAAGGTGGATGTCAAAGAAACCCATGCAATAATCAGAGAAAAACAATAAGCAAGAAAAGGACTGACACCAAGAGCTGCAGTGATAGGTTTGCTTGCCCTTCATCTGCAGGTGGCATGTATCTGTTCCAATTAAATGGGAGGTTTTGCATTTAGTTTGTAGACCACTACTCACTCATTACTGAACTGTTGCACAACATGCGGCACAGCAGCCTAATATTACTTTGTGAATCACAAGCTGCTCACTCTGGGATTCCAGATGCATTAAGAGATAATGGCCCACAATTCATGAATGATGGTTTCAGCAATTACTTCTAATTTATCATTTCATGCCCACCATGTCAATTCCGTATGAGGCACAGTCATACTGTTCAGCAGAAAAGTCAGTGGAAGAATGCCTGGTAAGGTTACCTGGTAGCAAAGAGCTTGATTGGGAAGAAAAACGAGCTCAGAACCTGCCTGCTTAAGAGGATTGCTTCTCTTCAGCCTTCGTAACTCAGCTGTGATCAACACAGGCTTTATGCTCGATCTGCATCAGTGTAAAACAGAGAAGGCTGCTTAAAGGAAGCATTCTCCAAGGGCTTCCTTTAAAAAAATCTCGCCTCTGGGAAAACTGGTGTTGCCTAAATGCTCATTTCCTGAGCAAGAGGCAGAGCTGACTGTGTGAGCAGCCCCTGGGATATAAGCAAAGCAGATGAGAAGGTGCTTTTAGATTTGTGGTTTTTTGGTTTTGTTTTTTTTGTTTGTTTGTTTGTTTGTTTGTTTTCTTTATGGCAAAATGTATTAAGAGTTTTGGTTGCTTGGCTGACTTGTCAGAATTTTTAATGATGGCTGGGAGAAAGAAGTCACAATAGTGTAATTGATGCTTGTTTTCTACTGTTTCTCAAACAATTTTTCAGTGTGGCAAGACTGCCGTTGGCAGGAGTCAAACACGCTTTTCTAGCCCCTGACAATGAAATGTGTAAGGGACTGCAGGTACAGGCTCTGCTCAGGTGGTGGCTGCCACTTGTTAGGTAAAGAAAGAAGTGCTAAAGGAGGAGGAAGATGCTGTGTTATCAGAAAAGCACTGAGTCTTACAGATAGCAGTTACTGATAGATGGTCTTCAGTAAGGAGAATCGCTCTGCTCTTTGTCAGAGATGTGCAGGTTGTCTAAACCTAAAAAAAACATCATGGCCTGCATCCTCTGTGTCTACAGATGTATCTTGCTAATTGACAGTATGCTGTTACCCCAATCAGTACTGGTAGTGTAATATTGCAATCATATTTTTAGAGGAATGAATAAGACCTCTCTGACAAGAGGTCTTGAAAAGAGTCATAAACTATCGTATTTTATAAAGATCTAATGTTCTTCTATAAGCCTTGAAGATCTGTAGTATGTAAGAGCTTGTTATTTGTGGACCACTCCTATATACCTCTACAGGAATTTGACAATACTTGTTATACAATAAACATGGTAATAGATATTTCATGGAAAAGATTTTTGAATTTGCTCTGGCAGCTTGACTTTCTGATTATTTTTTTCCTGGATAGCAGAGTTCTGATGAAGATTGCTGCTCCTGAGCTGTTGTGATTTTGCTAAAATAATTGTTTCCTCTTCTATAGATGTTGGCATTACTTTTAGTCAGCAAAATGTGAGGTTTTGAGAAATGTCTAAGCACTTTCTTCATGACCAGTGGTGAGATTTGGCTGAAGACTGTTGTTTCTTTGCTTATTTTTTTCTTCTGAAGTGACAGATAACAGGAACAGTGAAAACCACTGCAATATTTCCTTTCCCCTTTTTTCACACTTTCTCCATTCTCTACACCTAAGTGCTTATGACAGACTTTTATTTTATGTTTTATATTAAAGAGCGATTTATGATTAAATGTTAATGAAATAGAATTTTCACTGTGCTTTCATTATATTCTACTAGTTTGAACATTTTTCAAAGCAGCACACCAAAACCCACTGTTTTCTATGAATAAATAATAAAAAGCTTGTCTGTACATTATCATTCATGCATTCTCTAGTTGCCCCATTGGTAATTTGTCTGCCAGCATAAAGTGGGCACTTCACATTAAACAGACCTTAACTAAGGCTAAAATTAATGTTATGATTCTAAGTAGTTCTTCTTCCCAAATCTATAAAATGAAGCCAGTTGTACAGAAATCCTTGCTATATCTAGTCACACAAAAAAATCTTTATGTCCTACAAGTAAACGATTTAAAATGCCTTCTGCATCATTGCCCAAAATGTTCCAGAGGAATCCTATCAGCATCTAGGAGGTGTGCTTATAAACACAACTCTAAAAGGGTGCTATGTTGCAATACAAGTTGTCAGTGAAATTGAAACTAAATCTTAGCAATGTATTTATTTTTAAAGAATAAGAAATGGAAAGGGAAAGGTAGTGGCAGTTGCTAGGGAGTAGTAGGTACTATTCACCTAAGCCTAATGTTAGTTTATAGAAGGTGGGGGAAACGATAGTTAAAGAAACTGTTATAAAAAGGGAACTGTGTCAAATCCTGTCATTCTTGTAACTTAAATCCACATGGAAGTAGCCCTATTTTCTCTTCCAAGTCCAGAGGAGCTGCAGGGAGGATGAGTAGTACCCTGGGAGATGAGTGCTTCTGGAAGCTTGTTGCAGAAAACTGAGATGGCAGATAAACAGCCTTCAGACCACAGTTTGCTCCCTTTTGACACTTGACTCAAACAGGGAACAGAACCTAGTCTTCACAGAAACACAAAATATGAAGAAAGCATGTAGTGCTGCTACAGG